GGGCTCTGCGCGCGGGCTTTGAAGTTAGTTAATTTTGCTTGGAGTAATTGCTGGCAAGAAAGGAGCTGACGTGTTCCCTCCCGAGGATGAATTGCTAGCAGATTTATAAATACTCTGCATAACCAGAGTCGCGATGTAACGACAGCCAAATACTACAGTTTGCTTCCTTCAAAAATTAAAACTTTGCCTGTAAGCAACAAGGCATGGGGCACATCGCACTAAGACAAAGAAATTGCGAGGCTGTTTCTTCAAAATGACAAATACTACAGTTTCCACGTTTGCTTCCTTCAAAAATTAAAACTTTGCCTGTAAGCAACAAGGCATGGGGCACATCGCACTAAGACAAAGAAATTGCGAGGCTGTTTCTTCAAAATGACAAACATTTTAGATCATTACCCAGATCTAAATACTGAGGGGAAAACCAAGAGGTTTGGGTCTGGTTTGTGGGTTGGTTTTTCTTTCAAGGTACAAAATTCTTTGTGTTCTTCTAGCTTAAAACAGAGCAACTCAGCACGGGTGTCGCTATAGATGCTTGTGTGTTTTGTTTTCCTTGCAGGAATCTGTTCACTTTTGCTGTGAAGCATGGCAGCATAGCATCTTCCTGCAGGATGAAGGCGATACGCAGCGGCAGACCCTGGTGGCTGGGGACCCTCCTCGGCGCCTGCCTGGCTGCCCTCCCCGGCAGCATCGCCTGTCCCAGGCTCTGCGCCTGCTACGTCCCCACCGAGGTGCACTGCACCTTCCGGTACTTCACAGCCGTCCCACCGCACATCCCTCCGAACGTGGAGCGCATCAATCTGGGGTATGTTTAACATCAAGATTTTAAATATTCTGACCAGCTACCTTTCAACACTTTGCAAAGCAGTAATTAAGAGTTTCCAGATTTAGGGCTAAAAATAAACCAAAGCAATAAATAAATCTTAAGAGCTTAATGTTCTGCAGTATTCAGAAGTGGTTGCACTCATAGCTAGCAAAGCCTAAGACCAACACTAAGTGGAAATTTTGGGGATGTATCACAGGGCATGTAAGAACTTCAAAAAGTTTTGAACTTAAATTAATTCTTTTATATTACCTGAACATTTTGCATCTGTAATGTGGAACTCAGAAGGACTCTGAAACAGAGAGAATTCTTTCTGGAAAAAGATAGTTCAGAGCGCAGACAGTGGGCTGGAACATTAGTGTCTATTAAAATCTTCAGAGACTTTGCTGTGACTTTAGGATGTCACACAGTGCTAGTATCTATGCTTTTATCTATTGAGTTTCTGGGAAGTAACACTTGTCTGAATATTTCAGCCTGCAAAATGGTTCTGTTCTGTGAGTAGTTAAAAGGAACAGGGGATAGATTATACCCAGGCTCGGCTGGCCCATTAATGCAGTTTCCAGCAAGTGTCTTCTGTCATACAATCAAATGACGAGACCAGTCAGCAATATTTGACTGATCCTTGTATCACTTTTGATACGCATAACCTTGAATCATCCATATGTGTATGCAGAAAATACAAAAGGAAGTTTTCATTGAAGTCTTCCCCCTCATCTGCCTTCGCTTCCGGGCAACATATCCAGATCCTGGCTCCTGACTCCTGTCTGCCCTTTCCTTACATTGATTTTGTCAATGTTGTCCAGAAGTGCTGTATATGAAGTCTTACAATTAAGTACCAGTACTTTTAGAGGACTATGGGTTACCTGAGGTGTGGGACATGTGTTTGAAATACATTAATTACTGCTACGGAAGGGCCATCTATCTGACTGCTGAATTAATCCAACTTACTTGTCACCACGGGGCACAGGAGGTGTGACTGCAGCATGACCTGCGTTAGCTCATCAGGTCACGCAAGTGTGATAGTAGTCATGAAGTCAAAGGCATGGCAGAGTAGGTACTCAGTGTTTGCGAGGCTTACACAACACCTACGAATTCTGGGATAGCGTAGCATCACCACTGTCAATGCTCATGCTGGCTGGACTTCGATACGACCGATGGTCAAACCTCCTATAGCAGTGCAGCTCTCACTTAAAGGGCTCCCTGTTTCATCTTTGCTTCCCTGTTTAAATCCAGCCTAGACTATCCGTACTGTATGTATACTCGTGGAGATCAGGGGAGGCTGAGGCTATGTCTGCATTAACAAGTAGTGTGCACCACTGAACACCTGTGGAGTGGAAATAAAACTCAAGATGTACAACTGAAAAGGGCAGACAGCATAGTCCAGCCAAGGACCAGGGAGGGACTGCAAGACACTCTGCAGAACCCGCCTGCACTATAGCCTGGGCACAGTCATTCAGGTCTCAGGAGGAAGGTCGCAGCCCAGTACCCTTGGTTTTACCTAGTTCTCAGTGGACAGCAGAGGCGCCTCTCTTTTGTTCATGGACCTCTCTGTGATACTGCAGTGTTGGGAAAGCCCTCGATTGAAAGAGGCATCAATGTACCACCGACTTCTACCGATACAGGAGCTCCTTGCTCTTCTACATTGAAGCCCAAAACTGGCACTCTTGTCTGCACATTTTTGCAGTTATTTTCCGTATCCACTGTGAATACAGTCTTCAGAAAGCTGCCCTGGAAAAGTTACCAAATTTTGTGCTGACATGAAGGAACGACTTAAAATTTCATCTTAGCAACCAGAAGTGCTATCTACCTTTATGCATTTCCAAAGAGTTTTTCTTTTGTTTTGGTTTTGTTTGATTGTTTTTTTAAAACTTGTGAATTTTAGCTGTCTGACTAAACCCAGGTCTGGGATGAAATGTTTGTTACAGTTACAACAGCTTGCTTAAACTGATGGAAACAGATTTTTCTGGCCTGGAGAAACTGGAGTTACTGATGCTGCACAGCAATGAGATAAATACAATCCCTGATAAGGCGTTCAGTGATTTATATTCATTACAGGTAAGAACTAAATGTAGGAGATGACCTAATCTTAATTTTTGTTACGACTTTTAAACAATCTGCAGTAATACTGATAAATGGAAGCAGACCAGCGGTCTGTAGCATTTCGGTTTCCTGTTTCTTACTGTATCCACGTGAAAGACGAGGGCCTTCAAGATCCAGTATCCTAATGTGAAATGTCTTGCTTCCCAGGTGGGCATTCAGGTACAGTTTAAAGAGCATGACGAACATATTGGTAGATATCTATCAGCAATATCTTAACGGGCAACTGCAGTTGAAACTCTCTTTCACACGAGAGAGGAAGATTGCAGAGCTCCAAGTACTGCATCTCTGGTAGGAAACTTGTCTTTAGTTAATTTGTTAGACAATTTTTTTTTTTTTTTGAGGATTGTTTTTCATCCAGATTTCCCGTTCTCTTCAGTACAGTATAGTCCTGTCCCTTTCTATCCTTCATTAAAAAAAGGCTCCTGCTCAACA